ACACACACACACACACACACACACACACACACACACACACACACACAGTCTGTAATCTTGGCTTACCCATAAAATGAACTTCCATTTTGCGAACAATATCTACTCTTTCCGTAGCATGTTGCTCAGTTTCAACCTAAGAAAAAAAATAAAAAAGGAAATTTTTATTGAAAATATTACAGCATGTATTTTATTAAGAAAAATGGAGAAAGAGACGGAGCGTTTTTCTTTAGCGTTGATTACAAATTTACGTAACATTTGCTGCTACATATGTACCTCTGAAATTTCTGTAACTTCCCAAGCACGTGGCCTGAAATCTTCCGGAGCAAAGTGTGTGATGACTTCTTCTACGGTTGCATGCTGAAGCTCGACCATTCTCATAAAAGCACGAAAACCGACTGTCGCTGCAACGAAACTCTCGTCAGTTGTCGTCTCCTCGGTAAGTACTTGAGTGATCAAGGGACCGTGGCCCTTTCTTTCCACCAACTGCACCAAAGCGTTCTGAGCATCAGGTGTTTTTAAAGCAGGGAAGATTTCAGTTCTGTAAAGACATTCGTTGATCTCGTTTACGGAAACACCTTGTCGAACCAAGTAGCCAATTGTTGCGAGTTCTCGAAGGGGAGATTCTCCTGGGCCAAATTCTTTTGCATCAAGTACCTCCATTATCTCATCGACTTCCCGAGCTATGTTTTCTCTTTGTCGCTCCACAATCTCCTTTACGGTAATATCTTCTTTAATCTTTTCCGCTTTTACTTTCTTTACTTTTTTCTGCTTTGTCTCTATACGTTTCGTTTCTTGCACGCTAGTTTCTATATGTGCTTCGGAGACCGATACTTTCTCTAGAGTTTCTGAGGTAACTTGAGCGTGATCAAGTTTTGTTTCGATGGTGAAATCAGGAGCAATATCTTCACTCGTGATTTCTGATACGACGACACTATCTCGCTCTTCGACAGTTTGTTTCGCACGTTTTTCGAATTTAGGTATGTGCTCACGTGGTTTCTGATCGTCAATTTTTTTCAAGGAAGCTGTTGCTTCGGTCACAATTGGTTCTTGGATCGGTACTATTCTTCGTGCTCTAGAAACCTAAAATGCGCAAGATAAAATGATTTGTGAAATTCTATAAGAAGTCTAGTTACGATTAAGGCACTTAAAAATTTGCACATCTTATAATACCTCCTCGGGTTTATTTTCTATGAACTCTGTTGTTTCTAGTAATTGGGTCTCTTCAACATCGACAATTCTTCTGAAAGTACAAACGGCAAAAATTATAATTTATAGATAAAACATATTAAAGATTTAAGTACGGAAAAATACCGAACAAGATAAAATGCATTACTGACTTTTCTTCTATCTGTTCCTTCGGAATAAGCTTCTCTTCACGGATTTCTTCTTTCTCAATTTTGATACGTTCAGCTTTTACTTTTTCTTTGATCTCCTTTGCCTTCTTTAGCTCGGTTTTCTTCTTTTTGTGCGGTTTCTCTTCTTGTTTTTTCAGTTTTATATCCAATTTTTCTTCCTCTTTGATCGTATCATCCAGCATTAATCGTGATTCGCTAGTAGTATCGATATGCAGTTTGGCTTTCGTTACTATCATACCAACTTCGTTGGTAGCTTTGCAAACATATGTGGCATCGTCTTCTCTGGTAGTTTGCTTAATCGTTAGAGTAGTTCTATTTTCTTCATCAAATATACGTACTTTCACATTCTCCGTATTCATTATAAGCTTATCGTTCTTATACCAAACAACATCTATAAGTTGAGGAAATAATTAATTAAAACAACTTTTACAACTGAGTTTGACAATATTTTATATGTGTAGTGATTACCTACCTGGTTTGGGGTTACCAGAATAAACACATTCAAACAAAGCGATATCCCCTTCTTTTGCATAAACGTCCGTTATTTCTTGGATAAATCGTGGGACGGCTTGTGTAGCTGAAATATCATGAAGCGCTGCGATTATGAAAAACTCTCACAACACAGAAATAGCTACAATATTAAATTTTCTTACCAAATTGATGTTTGGTGCCTAGGTTACTTGTATAAGCCTCTCATGTCAGTAGTCTAGTTAGACAAACATATATGAAAATTCATGCACAATTACTCTAAATCATTACGTCTACGTGTTACGTCTATCGTTAGTAAATCAAATTCTACCTGACATCGTGCCTCTTTCATCTTCGATGGAGTATTCGCTGTATGTGGATATATTGTCCGCTAATTCAAAATTTCCGCTACATTGACTTTCAAGTAGCAAAAATTCTTGTAATTCTTCTTGACTATCCGCTGTATGTAATTGCTGGAAAGATTCCAAATCGATTTCTCTCGGCTCTAACGGAAATATCCGTGGGTTCATGGTATAATCCTCGAGTTGTTTCTCCTTGGAGTATTTTGAAACAGGAATCTTAGATTTGGGATATGTATGATATTTTCTTTTACAGTCATGAATCGGCTTAACTGCAAATTTCTCGGGAATGGTTTTAAATATTTTTGTATTCAATTTTTTTTTATTGTGCGTACTTGGCATTTCGGTTCTTTCTTCGATTAATGACAAACAGAACGGCGATTTCTGGTTCTCTGGAGAATTTGTCTTTTTATCAATCGAATGAAAGTACTCGTAAATTTTTCTTTCGCTCTTTGACGGTGGGAACTCACCAAAGTCGAGAACGATCTTTTTCTTTCTGCATTCTGTTGAGACGTCCATTGAGAATTTTTCGTTGAATATCGAATTGTCGCTCGCCTTTTTAAACGTATCTTTAAGACTAAGGCTAAATGACTCGATAGTTGCAAGCGGTTTGCCGATCATTGTTTTCTGAACAGTATATTTAGTATCTTCTGTTCTAATTGGAGATAGTTGTTTCGATACGTTTGATATTTTTACCTCAGCTTGTTTATATTCTTCATGTTTTATTGCATTTTGCGTACTTGAAATTGACGTAGAAATATGTTTTGGTTCTATTTTCGGTTCGGTTCCAAGTGACGACATAACGTGTGTTTTTTCGATAGCAAAATCGTGTTTTACCTCATTGTTAAGCACAAATTTAACAAGTGCGCTTCTTTTATTTTTTAATAACGTTATATATGAAGAATATTTATGTTCAATAGGCTCTTTATCTTGCATTTTCTCTTGTAATTGCCTTCCTGAATCAAATATCGTTGAAGTTTGTTCCTTGTGAGAACCATCAACTTGCCAAGAGTATTGTATTGCAGTACTATTCTCTCGATCGGTCTCCATAGAATCCGAATATCTTTTCGATAAAAAATATCCTTTCGAAGGAGTTTCACCTTCATCAAGAGACAATCTGGTATCGTCGTCAATGTTCATCAAGGTTTTTGTTGATGAAAATTCACTGGTTACAGTTGAACTATCTTTTTGAGAACTCTCATTTTGTAATGTACAGTCATCCAGGCTGTCGTTCGAGAAACTGCACTCTGCATCACTCAGCATGCAATCGAGTGTGTTCAGACGATAAACGTGAGTCTTACCTCTTAAAGCTTCCTGCATTTCTTCCATTTGTGTGACCCACTCTGGTTTTCGGTACTCTTTTGTTCCGAGTATACCTAATCGACAAAACGAATATAAGAAAAGTATAACGAATGTATAGCGAATCTCTCCGGTCTTGTTAGCATTTAATTAGAAGAATTTGAGCGAGATCAAAGAGATTCGTTAATTTGCTTATAATATGTCAAAAATAAGACGGAAGACAGTGTATAAGTCGAGGATGTTGCAAGTGTGTTTAATGTGGTAGATGTAATGGAAGATGTAGGATAATGAACGGATTTTTATTAGGATGTTATAGCACTTCGATGATGTTTCTCCGATTGAAGAGCGTAGCTGAAAAGAATTTGTCTTAACCAGATTACTGCAGCCTTTGGGATCTCTGTAGAGAGGAAGATATTACCTTCTACTGATAGATACGCCGTTGTAGTTGATACACCGAGTGGATTGTGAGCTTCGAATGTGATCTCGCCCGTGTCATCGGGGAAAGTCTCAGCAATCGTCAAGACTGATGTACCATCTTCAAACTCCTCAATTTGAAATTCTTGTGATGAGACTATTTCCATGCCCTGTTTATACCATTTTCCTTTCGGTTTTGGTTTGCCTTTCATCTTTACTTCCAATCTATATAAGAAAAGATGGCAATTACATACACACACATACACACACACACACAAACATGTGTAAACACTGTGAACATACATATATATATATATATATATATATATATATATATATATAACATATACAAATATACATATACATATGCATGTATGTACATATTACTGATATTATTTATATAATCATGTAATTATAATTTGTCAAATGTGTTTTAAACGTACCTAGTTAATTCCCCATCTTTGGTAGGAACTAACTGAGGAAGCTTCTTAACTATCTCTGGGACGGATTCTTCTACATCAGTGTCGAAGATAGGAGTTTCCTAGAGATAAAATGAATTTGCATGTCTAATGTTGTACCAAGTACAATTCTATTGTTGGATATATTATTGGATGTTGTTGGATCCTGTACTTACTTTCGGAGATAGAAGATCTTCTTCCGATCCTGTAGTAAGGGATGTCGCGACTATTGAAGATGCAATTTCCGAGTCGGGCACGTACTCGTACGCTGAAAGTGCATTGTGTAGAACAGAGGCTATCATTTATAGGTATTTGCGTCGAATGATATACCTTCAACAATGAGCGATGACGTGCAGACAGCTTCGCCAACAGGATTTACAGCACGACAGGTATATTCTCCAGCATCTTCCGGGAATACTTCGGTAATAGCTAGGCTACAGACACCCTCCATGTCCTGAACAATTGTAATTTCTTTGCCTTCTTTAATTGGCTTGTCGTTGTGGTACCACTCTACTCTGGGCGTTGGTTTTCCTTCCACGACGCAGGTTAAATTAACACTCTCACCGTCCATAACTTTTACGGGTGACAGCCTCTTAATGAATGTTGGTGAAACTAATTCAATTGCTTCTTCCCATGTTATATCTGTTAAGTTAACGGTGGCCGTACAAGTGACTGAGCCACCAACGTTTTCAGCGCGACATGTGTAATTACCAGCAAGTTCTGATGTGACTTCTTTCACCATCAAGATTGATCGATTTTCTTGAGTCACGATTCTTACCTGCGGTGTCGACTGTAATACAAATTATATTTTTTATTAATTTTCTGAAATTCTGGATCTATGTAATAGAATTAAAGATTTATTTTAGACAAGCACGCAAAAATTGGAAACAGTACCTCAAGAGGTTTGCTTTCGTGGAACCATTGAAAAGATGCCGCTGGATATGATTCCACTCGTGTTTCCATGATAACAACTTCTCCTTCTGCAACAAGTTGGGGCTGAATGGGTTCTATAAACATTGGTGCTTTCACTTCGCTCGTAGTGTCTTTGCGTTCTTTAATGTTAACAGAACTCGAACTTCTCGCTTCACCAGCTTCATTCCGAACTCTTATTTCATATTTGCCGCTATCCTTGTTTGTTATTTCTGTTATATTTAATTCGGCTGTATTTTCGTAGATATTTATCTTGTGTTTGTCAGTCGGTGTAATTTCAATACCATTGCGGAACCATTTAACTTCCGGTTTCGGTATACCCTCAAAATCAGCTAGAAATTTCAGAGGTTTTCCGCGCTCAGTTATCAAAGCGGGTAAAGGTCGTGTAATTCGCGGTGCTCTGAGAACAATTGGTTTGCTCACTTTAACAATGTTACTGATCACTAAATTAGCTCTACATTCAGCGCGGCCGTATTTATTTACAGCACGAACGCGATAAACTGTTTCGTCTTCGGGCATTGGTTCTAAAATTTTCAGCATAGCTTCTCCAGTTGTTGGATTGAAAGTCATCTCTGTTCTTTCGTTTGGTTTCACTTCTTTCTCACCGCGATACCACTTTACTTCAGGTATTGGCGTACCGTCTACAACGCATTCTAATAAAGCAGGTGTATGCTCTTCAATCATCAGCGGTTTAATCGGCGTTGAGAAATGCGGTGCCACACCTTCCTCTTCTTTTTCTGAAAAGATAAATATCATATATATATAATTACTCGGAAATATGAGATAATATTTATAATTAACGCACGCCATGCATACATCTATTTCGTGCTTGCCATTCCGCAAATTATTGTTAGCTCATTTGTGTATATAGTATAACTTTTTATTTAAAGTTATATATATATAAATGATAAAGGCGTTTAAGTATTTGCGATAGAGAGGACATGCCCATTTTATAAATAATTATTGATTTAATGAAAAGATTATATAAGCGTTATTTTGTAATATTTCTATATCTATAACGGAAATTTAGTAGAGCAAATGAAAAATATCAGAAACAACATGTAAATATCAAACAATAAGTATAAATCTTATTTAAATAAATTCAAATCAACATAAAAATTAAACAATTCATATTCGATAATATTACTACCGAATATCACAAGATTGACAGTGGATGTTGCTACGCCAGCCGGATTGGACGCTCTACAAGAATACATTCCAGCGTCTTCTTCTTTAACTTTAGTGATTTCCAAAGTTGCCGTTGTCTCAAATATAGTCATAGTATACTTTTCGCTCGCATGGAGTTCTTGCTCATTTTTATACCAAGAAATTTCAGGGAACGGATTTCCTATGACAGTACATGTAAATTTGGCAAGTTCTTTCAACTCAGTGATAACAGGTTGTAACTTTTGAATAAATCTTGGAGCAATAGTTTTGTCTTTATCTGTAATTGATATTTCGACTTGAGTACGCTGCCTGCGTTTTCTTTTACGGTCTTCTACTTGGGTGATATCTGCCTTAATTTGTAACTTCACATCTTCTACAACTTCCTTTTCAATAATATTAGATGTGATTTCTTCGGGCATTTTTTCTATTACCTTAGATTTTGCTTTAACCGATTCAATAATGACTTTATCTTTCTTTTCCGAAACTTCTGCTATTTGTTCCGCAAACTTTACGGGTTTCAATTTAATAACTTTGTCTTCTTTAACTTTTTCTTCTGTTGTTTTTTCTTCACTTACTACCTCTATTTCAACTTCCTCAGGTAATTTCTTATCTTTTACAATCGTTTCTTTCTCTTCTTCGATTTTTGGACGTTCTTTCTTTTTCTTTCTCCACGAAATTTCACTTGTTGCAATCACTTCTTCAGTTATTTTATCTTCTTTGCGCAATGGCATAGGTTCCATTTTCTTTTCAATTAGATCCCGAATATTCTCAGTTGCAATTATCATTATTTCTTTTTCTTCGCAAATCTCTGTAACAGATTCTTCTTGATCAATAGGCACTACAGTAACTTCATCTCTAAAATCAACTACTTTTTTTGTTCGTTTACCACGCCGCCAAGGAGTTTCTGTTATCTCTACTGGTTTATCTTCAATGAGTTTATCATCTATTATGTCTGTTACCATTTCAGATACTGGTTGTAATTTCATTTCTACGGATTCTTCTTTTTTCACTGGCTTTAGAGTAATATCTCCTTTTGTTTCTTGCTCTTTAGGAACTTTTTTCACAGGTTTTAATATAATTTTCTCAGGTTTTGATGCTTCTGGTTTCTCTATCTTTCTCACGGGCTTCAATCGAACCTCCTCCTCTGGTTTCTCTTCAACTGTTTCTTTCTCCACTGGTTTTAATGTGATTTCTTCCTTTGAATCTTCCTCTTTA